TCAAGGTATCTCATCTTGGCATCTGAAGGTATGTCCACCAGGGCACCACATTAGCCGGAATACGTTTCTTTTCTGACTGATCTCTTGACATGAATGGTATACGGAAAGTAGGAGTGTCCGTGCGTGTAATGGGGGGAGGAGACAAAAGGGATGAGGAATGACAAATAGTGCGCGGTCTGCGGCACGGAAAATGCTTCGGCTTCCGTCGATCGACGAAACCACGGAAATCAGAGCTGCCGATGGCTAGAATTCTTCTCCAGGCAGCTGATGTCATTCTACCAGGCTACTTAGCTAGAGTGGAAACATCAGCCACTGTTAGAACTCGAATTCTAAGGCCATCTGCTCACTGTCGCTACAGTGGATACCATTGTTGCCACGAATGCCCTTACCTGGTGTGATGCGTATGGGTCAGATAGACGTCTGTGTGCCCTCGCTGTTTAGCTCATTAGTCAGGGTGATAGCTTTCCATGACGCGATTCCCGGTGCGGCAAGATTATAGTGTGCGTTTTCCTTCCAATGTTTCAGTATATGTTGCTGTGTGACGATGAGAAAACTCACTTCTCACGCTGAGAAGATCAGAATACGGCGTAGGGATACCTTCATGCTAACCACACGTACCTCTTAAATCCACGACCACGAGGCCGGACGCTGCCGGTAGGCCCTGGCCCTAGTACAGACAGACAGTCAGGTCACCTGCAAATTGCGAGAGCTGGGGCATCCCTGGTGATCGTCGCTGGGCTTCGCTGTTACGGCGCCCGAGTGGTCATCGAGGGGAACGGCCGGGCCGCGGTAGGCGGGGGGTAGGGGGCGTGGCGGACAGGTGGGCGGCTGCGTCCTTGCGCACAGCGGCCACCGCTTTCTCCAGCGGGGGGGGGGCGGGCGCGTGCGGCCCGAGGCGGCGGCGGTGGATCAAGGCGGTCGAGCATACAGTCGCCAGCGGAGAGTCCGCCGTACAAAAAGAGTGACTATGCGATGACGATGTGGATCGAAGGCTGCTGGCATAAACATTAGGGATAATTGGAAAATTGATTCTAAGATGTGCTGGCAAGGTGGCTAAGCGCTTCGGTCCGAAGGGTCGCGGGTTCGTGTCCAGCCATGGGCATGGTTGGTTGTCCTTTCTCTCTCATATATGTTCTGTTGCGGAGGGCATCGCGTTCTAATGACCACAGATCAGAGGTGCCCGCAAATTGTGTTGATGTCAATTGTATGGCCAAATGGTTGATCTGTCCATTAAGAGCGGCTTTTCGTCTCTATGTATTGCTGTGTTAAGTTGCGACTGTCATTTAAGACCACCACTCCTTTACCTTGATCTTTGTCTGCTCCGTCTTTAAGGTTTCGTTTGTTTTGCCACGCTTCTTTTCTCAGAGGCCAGGCCAGGCGATGGGCGCTTCGTCGCCAGTTAACGCCCACTGAGGTACCTGCAGCGTCCGTCGTCAGTTGGCCTCTGCTCGTTTACTTGCGCCGCCGGGTCGCTGCGCTGCACTCTGCCGTCGCTGTTTACGACCACCCGGCGCCCGTCCATCACGCAGCGTCGTCCTTTTCTCTCGTCTCGCGCCATCTGCTGCACGCCACTGTCGCAGCCACCGCCATCGCCACCGCCATCGTCACCGCCGTTGCAACTGCCCCCACCCCACCTTACCACGCCACCGTTGCCGCCCCCACTNGTACCCACCGCCCCTTTCCCCGCCCCCGCCACATTACCATCGTCAGTGATGTCGACAGTCCCTTCGGAGCGAGGTTTTTTCCTGCCTCACCGCTCATTGTCTGCTCCTGGTGTTAAGTGTCGTTTATTTGGGCAGGGGGTTAAGATGCTGTTATGTCCTTCACTAACTTTTAAAGGTTTAAACGTAGGTGGGAATTACGCTGTTGACGATCTCATGTACCACCTCTGGTGTCCTAGTTCTTAGTTTTGAAAACTCTTTAGGAATTCGAATATCTCTGACAGCTCTTTATTGATCCCTTTAAACGTTTTAACATCTAACATTTATGTTATACTCAACTAGTTTACTGGTAATATTTTCGTCCTTTTATAATTGAATTTATTTTAATATTTTTATCAATTATTTATTACTTTCAACATCAAGAAGCCGAAGATATGATACTCGTTTTGGACCGTCTAATTTTTCTGCCGCGTCAATTTTTGTCCGACTGATTTTAAGTGCCCTTTATTTGGTAAGGAACGTTTTCTCCTCAACGACCTCTTAAACGTTAGTTAAGCGCATGTGACAATTACGTATGTCCTCATTCGTTAAAACTCTGTGAATTTCTTTGAATATCGTAATCATATCTCATTAAGTTTGTAACATTGTTGTTAACCGTTTTACTGGTAATGTTAGGAGCTTTTCTGAAAAAGTTTCATTAAATTTCTTTTAGTAAATATATTTTCTCATTTTTATGACTTTTCTTTTTTGGGTTTTAGCATTGTTGTGTCGCCGCAGTCAACAACTGTCGTCTCCTTGACGCCCACCATTCATTGTCTGCCGCATCCTTCAATTTTCGTTTATTTTGTTTGACTTGTTTTCTCCTTGACGTTCCTTTGACGTTACATGAACACGTTTCCTTTCTTATGTGAAAATATGCTCGTTTGTTACACTTCTTTTAACGGGAGTCAAGTTTATTTGTTACTGCATCATTAAACTTTTTTTTTCATATTTTAATTTTCACTCTCTTAGGTTCCTAAACTCTTTCTTAAAGAATTTTGTGCTTTTATATGTTTGTTATTTATTTATATATTAGATTATATGTCTCTTTAAATCGTCGGCCATCTCAAATGTTGGTGTTTTGCAGAAGAAATATTTTATAATGTACAAAGCAAACTATTTCATTCACGAACAAAGAGTTTTACTCTACTTACCAACTGTTTTGTGAACTATATGATTTTTTACTAGGAAATATGCTCATCGTATACTCATATTTCTTCACTTAATTGAAGAATGACGATGTCACTTTGCTTGAGCGCCGCCAACTATTTGGACAGCGAAGTGCTCTCGCAGTCCCACAGACGCAGGCCGCAGCTCCAGGTAGCCTCCTTTCTGCTTCGTTACTCACTGTTCACCCCTTTTAAGGCTCCGGTTATTCTGTCACTCTTGTTTTCTCTTTGCCGTTAGTTAAACACGCTTCTCTGCTTTTGTGATCCTGTCGATGTTCTTATGTCGTCAACGTCGCGGTTAATCTATGTTTTATTAATCTTTTTACTTTCTCGCTTCAACTCATGTTGTAGAGAGAAAGTTATGTAATGTTGCACGAAAGATAACCGGCGAATTTTCGGCAGAAAAACTCTTTTTACAGAGCCCTGGTATCGAATTAGTGGATAAATCCAGTTGCTAAATTTAGAAAAAAAATCCTCTAACACGTGATGTAGCCTGAGTCCATGTTTTCTGGGCCAGGGGGTCTCACTTAATAGGTGGTAAAACGTCCTTATTTGAAAGTAGTGGTGGGAGGGACAAGAGAGTGGTGGGGGAGACGGTGAGAGGGGAGGTAGGTCCGTCATTATCGGCCAACATGGCAAGTAGCGCTGTTCAGGGGCTTTTGCGAACTAATTTTAAATACAGAAAGTCTGATTTTGTGGATTTGTTCGTTATAAGGACGACAGTGTACAACGGTTTCCTTTGTGGTGTTCGCATTCTCTGCACGTTTGTCGAAGTGTGATTGATTTTTTGGTTGTTTGGCAATTTTGTAAGAAATGCCGAAATATAGGCGTTGTTGGGTACCCAATTGCCACAATAACAGAAGGGGAAATGCGGAAAAGACAAGGCTGTTTTCTTTTCCACGTGATCCTGAAAGGTAAGTGAAATGAAATATATGGCATGATTCTTACGAATGGCTTAACTTTATTCGAATAATGGATATTTTTTATATATTTACAAATAACCTGTGGCTATTTTATAAAAAACATTTAATTTTGCTAACATAACCTAACTGCCTAGTTTTAACAATTGTTAACAAACAATTTATTATTATTATGTAACTACTACTAACTACTAAAATGCTAGCACAACCATGCACTAACCATAGTTAATTTCATATTAAACTTATACTTCTCTACTAATGTAATATTATTCCCCTAATTTATTATAGTAATTTTTATACCAACAACCTTAAATCTAATACTTATTTTGTTTCTTATTATTTAGTAATTTATATAATACAAACATTATTATATAATATAGGAGTATGAATTGGTTGATGGCAATTGGAGACCCAACATTGGCTGTTTGCCCATTGCAAACATTGATACACAGGAGATATGTGTGCGTGGAACATTTCATTCCTAGAATGTTGACTGCAGCAGGAAGAGCAGGGTGGAATGCAGTACCTATCATATTCAATGATGTGCGTCCTGAGTTGCAAGGCGAAGCACTCAGAACATTTTTAGAAGGCTTACCACCAGACAGGCGTAAGTTATGTTTTTAGCCTCTATTAAAAGAAATAAGATATTTTTCCAAATACAATTTGTATTCAGATCAAAGACCCATGTCTCTTTGATTTGCAGGGCCTGCTCCAATTTCTCAGAATGTCACAGTCAACATGTGTTCCAATGTCCTCGCATTTCCTGGTGAGTACAAAAACATTTTTTCCCCATTTTAGTGAATGCAGGATTCCTTTTTTAGGTCAATAACACCTCGTTTGGTATTACAGGCTCTTCTCCTCCGGCTGGAGGGGAGAGAACAGAACCTGTGGAAGGGGTTATTGCAGCTCACCTCTTCCAATGTGCTGGTGAGTACAAAAACATTTTTTCCACATTTTTAGTGAACGCACGATTCCTTTTTTAAGTCAATAACACCTACTAGTTTGGTATTACAGACTCTTCTCCTATAGGCGTAGGACATGTGGATGGGTGTTTCAGAGTAAGTGTTGGTGAATCCTCCAGTCACTTGTATTCAGGTAAAAAAAATTTTAATTTGTGGTAATTTGTCTTGAAAATAGTGTTTGTGTGTATATATACACACGCACACACGAGGGAGAGAGAGCAGTACAGATATATTTTGTATTTTATAGATAATGCTGTACCGCTTGGTACATCACTACCTGGAACAAGTGCTGGAAATTTCATTTTGCACTCTCGGTTGGGAAAGCGCAAATCAAGTGAAGCATTAAGTGATGTTCCAGCTCAGAAGCAGACACGTGACTCCTCTCGTGAGTAATTGTTTTTAAGTTGATAATCTCATTATATATAAAAATTATTGTTAGTTATATTTAGTATATATAATTTTGAAATATATATGTTGTTGCATTATGTAAATGATTTTTTGGCCCCAAGTTAGCCTGTTGGCTAATTTTTGTGTTTAATTTACTTCTTTAATCCTTGTCTGATAATTTGAGTTAACTATTTCTTAACCCCTCTTTTCACTACTCTGCTTCTACAAATACAAAACCCACTTGTCTTGGATCTGGAGGTGTAGTAAAAAGTGTCGAATTGATAGAGTTCATGCAGGATATTGCATAACCCCAGTGTGTCACCTCTTTTTCTTTTATGCGAAACATGAAAAGAATCACCTCACGACACTTATCTGCATCTGTCAATTCAATATATATTCTTTATGGATTTCTGACACCTTTTAGAACTTTTCCCACATGGTGCATGTCTTCGGTGCAGATATATTTTTTAAGTTTTTTTTTGCTAGTGTCATTTAGATTTTAATAATTTGTAAAAGATAAATAATTGAATACCTCTTTTTAGGTTCTTCAGTGAGGGAGTCACGCAGGAATATTCTGATTGAAGCTGGACATCCAAATGCTGTCATAACTCCTGTGAAGGGCAAATTGCTATCTGTGGCTGTGAAGCTAAAGTGTAAGATCAAAAATCTGAAGAAAGCATATGATCATTTGGCAGCACTCACTCGGACTAAAAACTTAGATGCAATGCTTCAGGGTGTTGTATCCTCCGACTTGCTAACCATTATCCGTGGAAATTGGCATAATTTTCAACGGGAAGGCAAAGGAAGGCGGTGGACACAACAGGAAAAAGTTATGACATTGTTTATCTTGTTGCGTACTCTTGAATGTGTTCCTATGGATACTGGCTTTGATGAGAATGTCTTTGAGATGATGTGTGGTGTAGCACCATGCTTCCAGCACCATGTCTGATACAGACAAGTGTTGTACATTGATGTTCGACGAGATGTGTCTCAAAAGACATCTTATCTATAATGATGAGGGCGTAATCGAAGGTATTGTCGATTTTGGCTCGCAGGGACGCTCGGACAAAATTGCTGATCGTGCTCTAGTCTTCATGATTCAGGGCATGCATAAGCAATATAAACAACTTATTGGTTGTTTTTTTTTTCAAGCCGTACCACGCCCTCCAATGTTATTGCTGCTTTAATCAAAGAAGCGATAGTGAAACTCCAGCAGATTGGTTTCATTGTCAAGACCACTGTGTGTGACCAAGGGCCAACAAACAAATATGCAATTAATGACCTCATGCGTGCCAGCCAAGAATAGAAGAAATTTGTCATAGCAATGTAAATAAATCAGAAACATACTTGAATCAACTTGGTAAGCTTCACTTTCCTACACACGATATGTACAAAATTGAAGATGTTTTTGTGTTTTATATAATATAAATATCATTTTCCAGGATAACTGTCTCATGTTATGGCTGTTAATTTTTAATTCTTACAATTTTTATTACATGTTTGCCTTGTGTACTATATACATAGCTCTTTGGATAACAGTTTGGTATTGTTACCCAAAAATGTTTATTATTTTCTAAACATATTCACAAATGCAACATGACTATTTTTGAGATTTGTTTTAGGAATCGTATAATTTTAAGTATGTTTTTGCATTTTTATATTTAGTTATACAACACGTATCTACATCAATATAAACTAGTACTAATAATTTTTGCATTTTCTGTTGCACACTTTCAAATCCCCTTAACTGGATATAAAAGACCGACCCAGCCTAGGCACGAATCTATGAAGATTTTTTTTATTATTATTGTTGATATTTAAACTAAGTCTTCTTACACTACCATGTATAAAATTAATTACCTTTCCATGATATTGTATTTAATACAATAATTGAATTTTAAATTTAATTTATGTCTTATATTCAATTTTTAGAAATATCTCTATTGTGTATTGTATGCTTATATACATATCCTGACTTGTCATGCATGGGCGTATGTTTTTATTGTTAAAAATTTATTATTATTTTTGTTTTGTTTGCAGTAGTGATATTAAGTATAATGATAGTATCACAAATGATGATTGGCCAAGATTTGTTCCTTTGTTTCAACAGGATTAACAGGATTTTTTTCATGCACATTGATATTTTTTTGTATATATACCAATTTTACAAATAAATATTATTTATGTAAAATACCTTTTTTAATTTTCACTTCCTATCATTACAATTTACTTCATTTCCTCACAATTACATATCCTTTAAGAATTACTGATTTCTACATTACCTTGGGCATTAATTTTTATGTCAAATACATTTTATTTAGTACATAACCATTTCCACCATGTTGAAAATTTACTAAATAATGCAATTTGAAATAGCCCGGTTCACGTCCGCCCTCCATTTCATTTGGTTTGCTGTCTTTGGACGCTTATTGGCTGGCGGTGGGCAAATATGGCTGCCTCTTTCTGAGTCGTTGTTTCCGTTGGGGTGGGAGATTCTATTTTCTCCCCTCCACGAAAATAGGGCTTTCCGTTTAACATGGAGTGCCGTCTTTGATATATACTCTCTGTTCTGGGCCTCGATTGACAGTAAAACATCAGTCCGTACGTCCGTCCGTTTGTGAACAACGCTAGCGGCCAAATTGTTCAGCCGATTTTGTCCTAATTTGATATTCCCTCATAGATATGGCTGATGTCGCGGCCCCTTGAATTTGAAACCGTTGTTGGAGAGGGGTACTTTACATTAAGCCCTTGAGACATTCTCATTTTTCTTTAAAAATTGGTTCAATCGTTTTTTATTAAATTTTGTTGTTGCATAGTGTGAAGAATGTTTAAAAGAATGGTGCATTTTTCAAAAATTGAATAAAATACAATTTTTGTGGCGTTTTCGTACATCTACTATAAGACAGATATTTTGCCCTCAATGAAACTTTTCCCTAAAGGTAGATTTTGAACAACGTTCATGTTCAAATGTAGTAAGATAGCATTAAGGACACTTAAGGAATGGTGCATGTCTCGAGTCAGTTGAAAAGCCTACATGAAATGTGATTATCAAAAACAGATAATCAAATAAGTAGATATAGTTTTCGGCTTCGAATTTTATGCGCTTCAAGAACATAATTTGAGAAGTATTTGGAAGTTATTCCTATTCTTATAAAATACGTAGATGGAAGGAAGGTCATTAGTTTAACATAGAACTAACAAATTACTTCTTTCCTTCAAGACATTTTTATCGCTGATTGAGATAAGTTTCATTTGTAAAAATTAGAAATTGCTACTGTTCCTGGTTATTAAAATAAGCACAGGTATTCACCACAGAGATTCGTTTGAATTGGAAGGGTTTGGATGGTATTAGCGTTATTACATTATATGAAAAAAAAATTTAAAAAGTACCAAAAATTTTTAAAAATATAGACGATTTTTAAACAAACATTTTTTTATAAACCACTTTAAAGTACGAACATTTTAACTTTAATTTCGTGTTACTACCCATTGTCTTGGAAAATAAGGCAGCATTATAAATTTAACTTAATGTTGAACGACGACAAAATAAAATAATGAAATATCTTGAATTATTCTCTTCTTTGAACACTGACATGGAATCATTACGAGACTGTTCATTCAAATCTTTAAATTAAAGCTTACGTTTAATATTATTTAATCATTCAATGTATTTTAAATTGCGTCCTTTAGTTGCGTTTAACGTGAAAACAAATAGATGATTTCTCTTGGCATGATAAGGTTTGAAAATGGCGAGTGTATAAACCCAGTAGTTTTGGTGAATATAACAATACATTTAATTATTTTATTTTTCTATCTATTTTCATTTTCTTGCTAGCGGTAGCAATAATGCAAATTTGCAAAATATGTATCCCATAAGACTTAGTGGTCATTGTTGCAACACATTTTTGTAACGCCGCAGTGATAACACAAGGCTACAATGACGGCCGCTGTTCGTTCGCGTTAATAAACTAATAATTTTATTTACGGTTAAAATGTGTATTGCGTATCGTTGATACATTTATGTAGAACGTACACTGAATTCTATTGCAGAAAGCTGTTTTCGTTTAAACATTTCCATTAAAAAATATCTGTATTTTCATGCTTCCTTTGTTTAAGAGTTGTTCAAATGGTAGTTGAAGTGTAAAACAGAAATTGTCATATCATAATATTACATAGCCATTAACAATATCGCGAGAAAGTAAATATTTTTGTAGCACCACTAGTTTGAAAGTTGCCGAATGTTGGATCTTCGCCTATTTTGGTGTTATTTATCCGATAAAAAAACATTTTAACCACACTTTAAAGTGGTTTATAAAAAATATGTTTGTTTAAAAATCGTCTATATTTTTTTTAAAACATTACGCAGAAATTACTAATATTTTCGAGGAATTGTAAATGTTTTTATTTCAAAACATGTGGTTGAAGATCATATTTCCTTAAGAAAAAGATCTTTAATATTAAAGTTGAAGGAATGCGCCGAAAAAGTTGTAAACTTTTAGAATTTTCAAAAATTCCGAGTTCAGCGAAAATGACATCGGAATAATTTTTTAAGGTCTACTTCACGAAATAATTTAATAAAATAATTTGGAGCTATTTAAGGGAACATTTTGAAATGATGGATCATGAAAAAGAAATATCAGACACGAATTAGATATACCTCCATTTATTGAAATGAAGAACAAGAAGACAAGACCAACAGTCCCAACATCTAAATAGAATGAGTAGCGAGCACATCCAAAAACAAATATAACACAATCGACCTCGCGGTAAAAGAGACGTCAGCCACCCACGATTAAGATGGCTTGCCGAAGACGAATCAGAAGATTCTTCTAAAGCCTCAAGAGATTATGAAGATGATGACTTTGAATATCTTTTTCAATTTAATTTCAAATTCTTAAGGTGCGTTTACACGGAGAGAGTTTTCTCTCCTAACTTTCCGGAACTGGTTAGGAGACACGTCTAAACTCTCAGGGGGGCGAGCTTCTCTCGGAAGACATGACGTCACAAGAGATTTTCGAAGTCTCCACAAGAGAGCAGTGTAACGACTCTGGTGTCGATGAGAAATCGTGTCTCCTAGGAGATAAATAGTTTTCGAATAGAGTTGGAACAGTCGTGTGACACTAGATAGGGCACATCCGCCCCTTATTCAAATTCCATACGGTAGCCAATCAGAGTTCAGAGGGACGCCATATACATCTGTACATCATCAACTCGCTTAAGCGGAGAATCAGTGAACTACTTATTCATTTTGAACTTTTTCGCAAACGAGACTGTTGGTTACCGTTGTATTCCTTCCTCATCGACCATTCGTTGTATATTCACGTGCTGTTCGTAGGGCCGTTAAAGCCATTGCGCAGTCAGTGAATAAGAGAAATGAAGTGATATACTGCTGTTTGAAGTCTGAAGCGTGCATTATGGTTTCGAGAAGATGCTGGGTGCCTAACTGTAAAAATGCGAAAGCGAAATTAGCAATTAAAACACGTTTATTTGGGTTCCCAAGAAACGTGAAACAATGAGTTATTTTTATTTTATCTTTCGTTTTTATGCATGTAGATTGTTCTAAATCCAGGCTACACTGTAGATGGTAATATTGTACTTCATTGTAAAATTTATATAGAATATGCTACTAAAAGTCTAGGGTGATAATTCATTTGTGCTTACAGAAACTAATGCCAGTGAATGGTTTACTACAGCAAGTGTGCCTGGTACACATTTGCTGCCAATATTCATGGTAAGTTCTTGCCGTGAAAGTGCATTCAAATACTTCAATTGCAAATTGTGGAATTTTTCAATGTTCATGTTTATTTGCAGATCGCTTGTTTGGACAAACTGAGGTGACACCCACTATAGAAATGGGTGTAATTGGTAAGAATTTTTTAATATAATATATGTAGAATATAGAGTTTTAAGAGAATATATAGTTTGATGGGAGTATGTTACCAGCAATTTTTAATTTTCAGAGCCTTGTACACAGGCAGCTTTTCAAATTGAAAATGGTAAGTCTATTGTATGTATTTAAAATGCAAAAAGGGGCATGCTATTAAAAGCATAATGTATTGGTAATAATTTGTTTTTGATTATTACAGACTCTTGTGCTGTTGAACATGCTGTTTCAGCAAGTGCAGCAGATGCTTATGCTAGCCTTGTGGAAGGTAAATATTTGCTATAATCTTTAATAATCTCAATTATTACTTTGTTGCATATATTGAAGATGGGATAGATTTCAAGTTTGTCTCCATTTCCAGATCTTTTTCACCCATGTGAGGTGTCACCTCAAGTGTTTATGGATGTTTCTCATGGTATGTTGCTTTCAATATAGAGGTATTAGTATCAATTATGTGTAAATTATAGAAAATAAAAAACAAATGTTTTTGTGGTTGGTGACTACAGATCCTTGTACTTCTGAACAGGTGCAAGAAGCCATTCTGGGAGATGAATCTGCGACTTCGGTGTGTGATAAGTGCAAGATATTCCTGTGCTTTCTAATTTCGTAATTCTAGATAGGGAATTAAAATAAACCTCTTCCTTTTTGATACAGATTTGTTTTCAGAACATTCATTTGAGGACATATTATCTTTCTTAACAGCATTTTTTGCTTTTCAAATCCTCTTCCAGAGACTGCTTCTGAAGCAAGCATATTAGACCCTACGAGTTTGACCCTAAGTGGCTTTAAATTAAGGTTCTCTCTGAGGAATCAGAACTCAGAGACATAATTTTAAGGTTATTGTTATGTGATGTGAATGAAATGCTTCATTTTGCACAAAGTTTCTGTACATCCCTCTTTTACGCTGTCAGTTTGTAATGGTACGAACAACGAGAGTTTTAAAATCAGTGTGCATTCTGTTATTGGATACAGATCCATTATATAAACTGTATTTCCCACATCTGATTTGGAAAGTTCTAATTAAATTAAATTTAAAAATAAAATTAATTCTGTAAAGCTTGATCATTTTCTCAATTTTGGAATGCCTCTTCCTATGTTAAGACACTTTATTTAAATATTATGAATACAAAGGTTTTGAGTTTCTGTTTCAGAGGCTATTTTCATGCAATTTTAGAACTTCTTTAGTGCTTATTATCTGGTCTGTAATTTTTTCTTTCTTATTAGCATTAATTTTTATTAGTAGTATTGAGTATTAGTAAGTTGCTTATGTATTTTTATACTGTTCTGACAATAATTGTTTCTCATGACAAACACAACCTTGATTCACTTTATATTCAACTATGTTTGTATCATTGTGTTTTGTTCATCCTCAGGGCAATTACTTTCTGGATTTGAATGCTGATCCTTATTAGATTGTGAATTGTTATGAGTCGTGAATGTAATGCTTGATTCCATAGCTCAGTTATTAGGACATCTGCCCAGTTATCAGAAGGTCCCAGGCTTGGCTCCTTGTGCAATCAAAGATTTGCACTATGACAATCCATTTTCAGAATTAAATTGTGGTGCATAAGCATTGATAGAATTCCACTATTTGTAAATCATTGTTTTAAAAGTGAATGTACTTTCACAATGGATCCCATTTTTAAAAAGCCAGGCTCTGAACTGTGCATGTGTGAGATTAACATGGGTAAATAAAATAATTTTGACAAATATTTATTGGCTAACGAAAAACATTTTTAGGTTGCAACTAGTAAAAGCTGTTCTTTCAAGGCATGCAGAGCACGCTAAAAGTTTAATTTTTTGCACTACTGCTAAAAGTGGGACAATACTCAAATCTGATAAAACTTTGAAAGCAACCAAGAAAACAAAATACGTTGATGTGACCTAATCAGATACTACTGATCTTAATGTAACAGTACATAATTAAGTTATTCGTATTCTTGGATTAAAATGAAAGGCAGTAATACCACTTAAAAACATGATGAAAGTGATTTTATTTGCTTATAAAAATGGGGCACCTGACTTATTGGCCTAGTGGCACTTCCTTTCCTATGCACAAAATAAAATGGCACTTTCACCCCTCGTATCATAACTATTTGTTTAACCTGGGCAAATGTGCGGTAGTATTTTCATTTGTTTCTTTTCAATTCTGTCCATATAGTTCATTCATAATGCTTGTAATAATGTAGTATTCCATAGCATTCACATTAATTTGGCTTATTTACAAGCAAATACTAAAGTTGAAATTTGTGCAAGTGTACTGTTTATTACCTTCTGTGATACAAAATTGTTATTACTAATGAAATTACGAAATTGTGTAATATCAATATACTCAATAAATACTAGATTTTACTACCTTTGTTTGACTTTTTTCTTCCATAAAATCCTTATAATTATTATTGTGAATTTTTTTAATAAATTAAGGCCTTGAAAGTATGGGAGTGAAATTTTAAAGTTCCCGCATTGCTGCTTTATATCAAATTTACCGTTTACTTCTTTGCTATTGGCTGTCCGTTTATCCAATGGAAATTATACAGAACTATGTGGCGGCACCGGAAGTTGAACAAATAAGGCTTTTCCTTTTAACATTGAGTGCCGACTCTGAAATATACTCTGAGTTGGAAGACTTTTTGCTCTCTTGGCGTGTGTCCACCTGCTCAAGTAGCTTTTCGGCGTATGTGTCTGCGAGTCGTTCCAAATTGATTTTGGATTTCTGTTCGTGTTTAAGATTTGTGAAATATGAAGCAAGCACAGGAGAGTCGTGAGTACATGCTATATAATTTTATATACGTTTAAAATAATAAATTTTTATAAAAGTTTAAAATAAATTTTACGAGGAACATTGTACACAATGTGCATTGTATACGTTCAACGCAGTATACAACTAATAAGTAATATAGTAAATGCAGTGTATAAAATATTGATTTCGGAAATAATATTCGGATTATTCTATAGGTTTTGGTGGATAATTCTTGTACATTTTACCTGTAATAATATACTATTTTCAACTTGCATAACCTAATTATTGAACTCTGTGATTTTATTACAGGAGATGGTCGCAGGAGAATATAATGAAATTAATTGAATTGCTCGAGTTAAGGGAATGTTTAGGAAGGTAAAATACATTAACCTAAAAGTTGGTGTTAACAAATTCTAGAAATTAGAGCAGTTCGTCCAAGTATAATCTTTTACTTATAATAATATTTAAGTATAATTTTCATAAAATTGCCGTCCTGAACTAAGTGGTCTGTTAATACCTGAAAATACACTGTATTAATAATAGGCTTTGCGGACAATGGTTTTAAGAAGTATTATACTTGGTTGAAAATTATAATTGCTTATAACAGTACTTTGAGTACAAATGCATTATAACAAGCATACAGTAATCGTTAGTGTTTTAATTAAATACATTTATTCAAAATATTTTCACATGTGCAAATTTTAATATTAATGTCGATAGTTGGAATATTGTTTTAATTAATTGGCAATTCAGTTACTATAAATGCACCTCTTCATTTCAGGAAGTCCCATGCCTTTTATAAAGATAGGGTGAAACGAAAAGCTGCCCTTCCTGAAATGTCGAACAGTTGGCAAGAACCCCAGAAGAAATTGAAAATAAAATTCCCAATTTAAGATGCCAATACCGAAATGAAGTTAAAAAAGAAAAGAACAAGGAAAAGTGGAGCAGGAAGACGTTTATACGTCGAAATGGGATTTTTTTATATCCCTCAATTTTTTTTATATATGGAGGTGGAAAGGCAGAAAAAGGAAACGCATTCGATTCAATGGTAAGTCAATATTTTATTATATACATTTATATTGCCAGGGAACTTCACTTTCTGCTACAAAATATTATTTCAACTCATTTCTAATCCCTCTGGCATTTGTTGAATAATTTTTGCCTTGAGTCGGTTGAACGTCAAGGAATGGAATATTCGTACCATTTCTCCAACTTCCTGGTTCAAATACATTGTATTTCATTGACATTTCTGTCACATGTTCCAGGCGGGGCACACACTCTGCCGGAGGTGGACAGCAAAAAAATGTTTAAGACACAAATAGTGACTACTATCTCAGGTGGAAGTTCAATAGTTCGGCGCAAAATACGAAATCGGGCAGCAGCCATTCCAAAGGCATTCTCAACAATGCGTCGAGCTCGAGATAATCTATAATTAAAAATTCCTCCATTCCATTTAACGTTTGGTGTTTAAATGGCTTCATTAAATTTTCTTGCAAAGAAAATTATCAGCGACAATGATATATGGAATTTTCATATGTCGCCTTGGCAGTGGCCTGGCATTCGGTATATTTAATTGTTTTCTTTTCCATGGCTTGATTCAGATTGCTGGTAGCAAAAACACCGCCATCAGCATGGTGCCCTAGTGCACCAATGTTGTTGTACAAAAACGTTTAATTGGCATCCACTAATGCCAAAAGAACTATGCTGAAGGTTCCTTTATAATTGAAATAAAAACTTCCGGTCTTGGGAGGGGCTTGAATGTGTACATGTTTCCCGTCCAGTGCCCCAATACAATTTGGGAAATTTCATTGGGATGAAAATTCCCCTTCGATCTTCAACCATTCATCTTCAGTAGTAGGTACCTAGAAAATAGAATGTCAGTTAAATGTATTTTTTTCCCAGAGCAATACCTCGATTGAATGGAGTCCCAAGAAACATTGCTAGAGAGCCAGTTGGCACAAAGGATGTGTCATGATGCGGTACCATCAACATCTGTGGTGTCATCTGACTCTCAAAAAAAAAGAGAAAAAGAGAGATTTCCGAAGATGAAGTTTTAAAAAAATGCATGACTGTATTAAATAGACACATTGACGAACACCAAGTGCTCGGGAAGTACGTGGCAAGAGCTCTCAGAGATCTACCGGAAAGACTGCAATGTATTCTAAAAATTGATGTATCAGAGCTAATAGTTAATGCTCAGAAAGAGCATTATAGTTTAATGCAATAAAAAATTGTTAAGCTGAAAATAAGTGTTTTTATTTAAACCTCCATGCATGTTACAAATAAAGTTATTGGGATGAAATGGCGATAACCAGGCCTAGGATTTGTGGAAAACAAAGAACCTAAGACGTACTTATATAAAGAGTAATATAATTAATGTAGCTGTCCACCTGAACCGAAAAAATTTAGAATTCTGTGCTCCTTTTATTTCTTGTACAATAGATCTCTTATGCTCAGAAATCAAACAATAAAGAGTTGAGTTTTTACTTCAATCAGCATATTTTGATAACTGATATAATAGCAATTAAAAAAATAATCACAATTGTCTATTTTAGTGAATGAACAAGATATTAAAGGTACTGTGAAAACTAGAGAGACAAGATTTGATTTGGGAAAAAGTATAGGTGTTGTGGTGTGATATCTTTGGCATTTTTCATAAAATAATTAAAGACGTTGTCATTGCCAACAATATTATTTAATGCAATAGCAGCTTTCGATGGCTTAGCTATCATCATCAGTTGTCTGCTGGATGGAAGCCACAAAAACGACTACCGCTGGTAGTGGCAATGACAACGTCTTTAATTATTTTATTTGGGAAAAAGTAGTTAAAAAATTTATTGACTTTTCAATACAATCGGTTCAACCGAAAC